AACTTTTAAAATATATTTGCAGTTCATGGTTATAATAAGAAATGATATTAAAATTAAAATATAATTAATATAATTATTAATTTATATCTAAGCCTAACTCCAAAGCATAATTTTTTGCCAAATAGGATTCCGAAGCATGAGAGTTTCAGCACATCGTGAAATTATATACAGAGAGGATAAGACATAGTATATTATCATCTTGCTGCCGACATACTTGGGAAGAGTCAAATCGAACCATGTATATGAATGTGGACAGCAATACATTAAAGAAGGCCGATGCACACGTATTGAAACAAAAATATATGCATCTTTACTTGTGATTAGTACACGCAGTAGACACGAGATTCATCTTTAAGGTTTGAACACGGATAAATGAGACACGTTACGCCCTGCGGGGCACCATCAATCAACATTGTTAACTTCCATTTGGTCATCACAAAAATGTACCGTACATAATAATCCAAAATGACATGTCCATCGTTTAAATCGATTGTTCATGTGGAATTTTAAAGCTGCTCATATATAGCTTCTTCGCCTTCCTTTGGATTGGGTTGTCATCCAATCCGACGTGACTTAAATCCAAATATTCTACGAAATTTTATTTAGTTCTAAGATCGGTTAAAATATTTTGAAATATTAATATATGAATAAGTGATATCTATTTGATGTAAATAAATTTACCTTTTTTTTTTATTCTAGTCTATTTGAGTTCTTGATAATTAAAGAAATTAATTTAGTTGGGGGATAATTAGACACTGATTTCACATAAATATCTAAAATATTATTGCACGAATAAATAATATTATGTTGTGAGATGTAGGTATTTACGATAAGTGCGCTCAACGTTGTTAGAACACAAATAAACAACTAGAATAGCGGAAGCAATAAACCGAAGATTTAAAAACTCTTCAGGGGAGCGTCTCACTTCCCCTCAGAGCTCTTTCATTGATAATTCGATTGTGCACATGCGTATAGTTTTGGAATTACAGCACATAGAACTCCCTTCTAGTCTAACCAACAACTATACTCGAATCTATCAACTACTTCTCCGGCCACGTCCCGTGGACTTTCTAACCAACACTTAATCCCTAAGTGTTAAACACGAGAATGTCTGAATAAAACAAAGGAAAGAAAAGAAAACGCGCGACTTCAGTTCTTCGATATGTAAGAACACCAAAAACTACACCGAGAACTAAAATAAAAGAATACTTGAAGCTCGAATAGTATGTGAATAATAATGATCTCAGTAGCCTTTCTTCGATCTTCAAGTAGGGTATATATACAACTCTTTAGGCTTGGAGTTTTCTCTAAGTTTTAGACTTCTTTTCCTTTTAGGAGTCAATTTCCTTCCCAATTGATTCATTTCAGATCTTGGACGAAATCCTTCATGTAAAATAAGTTTCCTTGATGTAGAATTCGTGTATGTGATTTGGAGATCTTCATGATTGAGTTTCCAATGAAAATCTCGTGTTTTCAGACTCTTATAAGAACATGACTTTCCTAAAATAGCCGATCTTCCAAATCTTCAAAGTTCATGTGGTGAATCTTTCCAAATTCTCCTTAGATCTTATGGAGAACGTCCAGAATTCCTTATGCACGAATTGCTCATCCTTTCATAGTCCTTGCCACCTATTCCTTGTCCTACAAGAAAGAGAAAACTAATTATGGCATAGAATCAATCTCATTAATGCATGTGACATATATGGTAAGTAAATATATAAGATATATATTATGTAATCCTTCTTCTAAAGGTTTAGGACTCCATAATACACATTATACTTATATACAAGGGGATCCTATTTAGTACATTTAGTATCCAGAAAAGTCAACAGCATTAAATGTCATTACTATTTCGGTATTAGAATATTTTATAATCATTATAAAATATTTTGATGAAGACAATTTATGAATTCACTTACCGTAATAATCTCATTCAGATTTATTAGGTATTGATTGGGGACATTATAATAAGATTTTTTATTATTATACATAGATTAATCGTAAAATACTAATTTTATATATATAATCGATCAGATTTTTTATTATTGCACATAGATTATATTTTTAATTCATTATATTGGATTCAGATTTATTAGGTAATGATGTAAACATATAATGATTATATATAATTTAGGGTTACATTTATATAGATCAATCATTTATATTTTTTATAATCATTATATTTTTAATCCGAAATTTTACGTACTAAAATTTACGAAATAAGTTTATAAATCTTAAATTTTTTAGAATGTATTCAATACGAAAAAAATTTAGTCCAAATTTACGTGTGGTTTTGAAGTGAAACTTTGAAATTCAAAATAATTAGAAGGGTTTGCTTTTATATAGATATGTAATACAAGAGAAGGTTTATATTATGCAATATAACCAAACGAATATATATCTTGTATTTTTAATTATATAAAGAAAAAAACTCACGAATATAGTTGAATTAAAAAGATTTTTGTAAGTAGTCTAATTGCTATTGAGATGGCACCTTATACGATGCAACTGGCTTTGAGTAATTCAAATCAACCACCAACTTTATTCTAAAATCACGTCGTCCACAATTCTAGTCAAATAAAATAGTCTTGGTGCATCATATATCCCGTCAACCCAATTTTGATTTATTTAAATAATCAATTATATTTAAATTAGCCTACATATTGGAAAGCAACTATTTGGCGAAGGTACCACTTGGCAGAATATCCATATATTGACAACTAACAAAAGGTTGTTCTTATTTCTTTATTTAATTTGCCATTACTGGTCCCTTTTGCATCCATATTTTGTACAATAATAAAAAATTAGATTTACCACCCAGTGATGGTACTGAGTTCCATGAGGAATGTAAGGAAAACACTTGTAAAAATATAATGTGATACATGAATTTGATTAAAAATTGAATCAAGTGCGTGTTTCATTTTTATTTTTCCCTGTAAACTATGATAGTCATCCACGTACGTCTTTAATGGAAATGGGAGGGGCCGACATGTCATTTTCGCTATCAGTTGCTTTCTCACTAATTACAAAGCTATGGCTGAGACTAGATTTTTCCACAATTTATCTTCAGTCTTAGGTTCGCTCAAGAGATAAGATTTATAAATTTTTTGCTATAAATTTATAATAATAATTGTTTGCTATAAAGTGTACAAAAACTCATAGTTATGAGTGGATTAATTGATATTTGATAATGGATAACTGATTAAATTATTAACAATTTTAAGTATCTAAATGAATAGTTGATTATAGAGAAATGTTGGATAAACGATTAACCGTTGATATGTAGATACAATTAATTAAGCAATACTCTATTCCAAAAATCTCTTGTAGTAATTTCTTTTTTCAAATTAACATATTAAAATCTGAAAGTTAATCTAAAATGTTATTTACTAAATACTAATACTACATTCTAATGGGTTAAACTTCTAATTCACTTTCAAATTTTTTATTTGGTCTTAAAATGTTGATTGCCAAACATTCACTGTCTCATAATTAATAGGTAGATAATCACAAATGCTGCGAGTTAGGGGCATAAACCAATATGAAAAACTTATTTCGTCAAAGCATATACTAGATAAAAAAATAAATACAAAAAATAAACTTACTGATAGCTCATTTAGGTGCATATATAAGCATGCTTGATACAAATTAACTCAATCATAAATCGATTCCACTATCATTAATATTATCAATATACCCATTAACAACTAACAATACCAACTTTTTCAAATTTACAATCCAAACCAAAAATCGAATCAAAACAAAAAATTTTCCAAGCATGCAAGCAATTCTTACTAGATATTAAGAAAAAAAATAAAACTTTATTGATAGCTCATTTAGGTGCATAAGCAATTCTTCTACGTTACTTTGATAAATTATTTTTCAATACAAAACCAGGCACGAATTTTCCGCAAATTTTCGTCAATGTTTTTTCCTTATTTTTTTAATAATAACTCATTCATGTCACTTTAAATTTTCCAATTACTTTTATATTGTGCATTATGTGAATTGTGTAGAAAGTTGACCATTCAACGCTGTGGATGTGATTGGGGAAAATAATTAAATATTGCATTAGAAACCATTAACCCACACGGAAGCTACAACGCTTTTAATTTAACCGGATGTCAATAGTAATTTCAATGTCGATTATAAGTATTTTGATGGATATGATCAAAATAATGTGAATTGGTGGTATTATCAGTTAAGTTTACAATCTCATCTGAGCCATCTCCATTAGTCATTACCATTATTTTCACATTTTCTTATTTATCTATTAAATAAACAACACCACTCTTTTTCGTTTTTTGGGTATTTATCTCCATCAAACAGCTAGTTCCACTCTTCATATTTATCTAAGGGCAAATATTCATATTTTAATATTTAAGTATCATATTTTAAAAAATAATATAAATCATAATATAATTCATTTTATCATAAATGTGCATCTTTAATTAATGAGAAAGTAGTACTATGTTGCTTGATAGCATAGTAGCAAAATTTGTGAAAATTTCAGCGTATGAACACCAGAATTTGTGAATTTTGAATATAATTAAAAAAAATATTGATCTGAATTAAATTTTTGTGTACGTATTGACCTAATTGTAAGCTTTAAGTAATATGTATGAGGTCATCAATTAAAATAAAATTCAACATATATACCTAAAAGAACTTGCACAAAAGCAATTTGGTTTATTTACTTAAACCGCGAATTTTTAATACATTTTTCTCTACTCTAAATAAAGCGTAAAGTGCGAATTAAATTTGATGTTTAATATAATACATGCAAACACAAATTCAGTACAAGCGAATTAGTTCAAACAAATCATATAAAACCAGGCACAGCCAATTATAAATAAATATATTCTGAAACTTATCTAAAGTACGTACCCAACGATATGTGTTCACTCGTAAACTATAATCGATCACCAAATAATCGTAATCAGAAAATAAATATGCCACTATCAAACCCAAAANTTAAAATACACACATAAAAAATAAAACTAACCGGAAACCATAAACCCACCCAAACCCACGCTCAAGACAAACGACAGGAATAAAATCGAGGGCTTGCACGGCGGCGCCGCCAAGGACCGCGGCCGACCACCGCCTTGCGAGTTGGTATCCGCCGGAGTACCACTTCCCGGAGCAGGAGAAGTTGTAGATCCCGGCGTCGTTGGGGACCCACTCGCCGGCGACGTAGCTGAACTTTCCGTTCCCGGAGGAGGAGCCTCACTCACCGGAGACGGAACTCCGCCGGATACCGACGGTCCAGGAGCCCCAACCGCCGGAGACGGACCTCCGCCGTAAACCGCCGGTCCAGGAGCCCCAACCGCCGGAGACGGACCTCCACCGTAGACCGCCGGTCCAGGAGCCTCCACCGTCGGAGATGGACCCGACCCATGGGTCGCCGGCCCAGGAGCCTCAACCGCCGGCGATGGACCAGACACATGGACCGCCGGCCCGGGAGCCCCAACCGCCGGAGATGGACCAGACCCGTGCTCCCCTGTCCCCGGAGACGCCGACGGAGAGCCAGCTGGCGAGAAGGGTCCTCCCGTCGCCGGCGTCGGAGACAAAGTCGATCCAGCTGGCGAGGGAGATCCGGTCGCCGGCGGCGAAGCTCCACCAGGCGGAGACGATGGCGAGCTTCCCCCCTGCCCGGCCGGCGGCGTATTTGGGCGGTTCCTGACGGCGAGAACGACGACGATCAGCTTCTGTCCGGCGTCGCAGTTTGTCCTGTTCCCGGAGATGAAATAAAAGGGGCCCGACCGGTCAAACGTGAAGACGGAATTCCCATCATCGAACCTTTGTATGGGATTTGCGGTGTTGCAGCTGTCGTAATCGGCCCTACTGTTCACCACAAGAACAGAGTCCGAGCCTCTGTTATACCTGAACACTGCCATTAAAACAGAATTAATAATCAATTTTTGAAGTGTTTGAAAAAAAAAACCAGAAAAATTTGTTAGCAGCTGATAAAGGGAACTCACAGAGTGTATCGTTGACTTGAAACCTGTTTCTTTGAGCCCATTGATTGTAGTTTTCAGAAGGATTTAAGACCCAGCCTTGGCTGCCACCGACCACGAACTGGTAGCCATAGCAAGAGCTCAAGAAACAAGAAAATAGAACGAGAAAGAGAAGAGCATGTCTCCCCTGAGCCTCATCATAAGCCATGTAGAAAAAAAAAAAGAATATATGGTTAAATTTGATTTGATTTTGATGAGAGGAAAAAATAGCTGTGGCAATTTTAGTAGTGTGTGTAGGAAGAGAAGGAGTCAATAAGTGAAGGGGAAGGGAAATAGTTGGGGGATTATATAGGGATTTTTTATTTATTTATTTTCTTTTTTAGTGTTATTTTTGTTAGCAAGTGTGATTATGTGAGTTACCGTTGCAGTGGGGAGTGCGGGAAGAATGAAGGCAGGAGAAGTTTTGGTTTTCCTGGTAATAAATTATTGTTTACCAGTGTATTTATGTTGTTTTAGGTAGCATTTAAGTGTGTTGCGCGAATACTGTCAAACTATGGAGGGGCACACATACGAGTTACGACTCTCTCAACCGTTGCAGGACAAAAATATTGAAATGGAAACAAAATAGTTGGTACAAACTTTTGTCTACGAGACAACATAACGGGTGGATTCACATTTTTTGAAATGAAATTATAATGTGATACGTTGTAATTTTATTTCTTTTTGAAGAAATGTTAAATGTATATTTAATTATTTATACTAAAGATAATATAAGTTTATTTGTAAGAAATAGGAAAAAATGGGTGCAGTCCCATGAACGTAAAGCGCACCATAGCAGGATGAGCCTATATGCGTCATAGTGAGGTTTTTTCCCAAAACAAATTGGTATACTTATAATAGGTGAGAGTGTAATAAGTCGAACAATCAAAATATCAAAACAAGATAGCAAGAACTCGTAGATGAACTAACATAAAAAAATCATTTAAGTAAAAAACTCAAAATGAACGAAGCGAAGCGAAGTGAAGTAAAAAATCATAGCCTATGATCAGGGGCGGATCTAGAAACTTACACGAGTGGGGGCCTAAGTTATTCTTGAAATAAACCATTTGAATTCTAAAATAAAGGTATAAGAAAAAAAAAGTTGCCATTTTATATAATTTTTTTAAAACATGTCATCTCCTATGAACATAAAGATGAAAAAAAATGAAAAAAAAAATGAGATAGATTTGAAGTTGTTATTGAATAGAAGATAAAAATATTGATGTGATTTTATCACATATTAGTGAATTAATAATATTTGATAAAAAGTATAAAATAACATTAACTTATTATGTTTTAATTGTCTTACTTGCAGTGAAAAATGTGAAACAATATAAATAATATTTGTTAAAAAAATATTTTGTTATTTTCTTAGTTTCAACAAGATAAATTATGACTCAATGAAAAGAGTTGGAAAAACACTTCATATATCCAATTGATGTTTTCTCTCTTCTATTTTCTTTTATATTTTAAAATAGACTAGTTAAAAATGAGTTGTGTGGAAACTTACTTGTTTATTTTAATTAGTAACTAAATAAAATTTTAAAATCAAATTAAACATGAACGAGATTGAATTAACAGGAATAAGAAAGATTTTAATTTGTTCTCCTTACTATAAATCATATTAAGTAAATAAGCAATTATATTTCAAGTTCAAATCTAACCAAAATAGGAGAGTGTTGATTTCAAAATAAAAATAAATGACATATAATTATTGATGGAAAAACAAAAGCCATTTTATGAATTGAGGAGAGACTTCCCAAATATACATTAATTCCTCAATTGATGAATTTATACATAATTCGTGACTTTAATGCATTATCCTAAGTACTCTTTGAACTTTTTTTTTTCAAAATTCAGTGTGGGCCTAGGCCCACACTGGTCTCTTAGTGGATCCGCCACTGCCTATGATAGAACCTGACCAGTGTTAAAACTCAAAACAAGAGATCTAAGTTCACTCCTAAACGAAGCAAAGTACAAGTACTAATTAGAGCAAACTAATTCTACAGAGCAATAGTACATGACAAGAAAGGACAACAATTCAAAATCCATCGAAGCATCACAATAAGCTAAGATATACAATCATCAACTAAAAGAATAACTAGCTAGTTTCATATTTATTTATTTAATCAGTATATCCAATTTTAGGTTAGTTTTATTTTGTAAATCTATATTTCTTTGCTTATAATTTATTTCATTTACTCTTTTAATGTGACTTTGCTGCTTTGTTTTTATACATAAAATTAATTTGTTTTAAGTTATCACATAGATAATACACCACAAAAAATTGTTATATTTTAATAGATATTTTAATGGTATAGCTTCCGTTGGAATGATTCCAACGAAAATTCCAACAAAAATATTCCGTTGGAATGTATTTTTCATTGGAATTTTAGATGGAATTTGATTATTCCAATGATTATATTTCCAACGGCTTTTGACCGTAGGAATTTCCGTTGGAATTTGCAATTTCTGTTGGAATTTTTATTTCCACTCCCGTTGGAATCGTCAAAATTCAACGGAAATTCCAATGGAAAACACATTCAAACGGAATACTTTTGTTGGAATTTACATTGGAATTATTTCAACGGAAATAATAGCATTGAAATATCCATTGGAATTGCCGTTGAAATTCTATGAAAATATATTTCCGTTGGAATTTTATCATTTTCTTGTAGTGAATAATATAAACTAATAAATTGTAAATACACTGAACTATTACAGAAGAAAAGCTTCATAATTTTGCATAACAATATATTCTTTAGGTAAAATTGTTTTTATTTTATTTTTTAAAAAAACTTATATTTATGGAAATAAAATTTAGAAAGTGTAATGCAAATTTAAATTAGCCTTTAGATATTGATTAGAAGGATTTCTAAGGGGATGATTGAATATGAATTCAACTAGTAAAAAAGTAGTTATTTTTAACTATACTTAAGTTTGAAAAAAGGTGGTACGGTTAGTTGATAGTGGATATATTAAAATAATATTTAAAATAAAATAATTAAAGTTGATTTTATGTAAAAGTAGGAGAAAATAATTAGAAGTGATAGTTAATTAAAATTATGTGGGTAGATGAATAGTGAATTAAAGTTGATGTGATGTATAAGAATGATTGGTTGATATCATTTAATTATATTAATAATATTAAAGATAGTGGAGTTAAGTAAAAGTTGAGTTAAATTTGAGTTTTGATTGATTTTTTCACGGTACAATTTGTATACAATGACCCCCTAAAGGGCTTCCAGCCCATCTCGTATAAACGAATTGAAGCCCAATTACCTAAGAACGGCTCTAAGCCCAAAGGAGTTCATATTTGACAAAAGCAAACTACCAACTACAATACTACGTTACTCAGGTTTATCGTACACAGAATTGAAAACTCTCAAAAACTTTTTATTTATTTGGCAATTATATATTACTATATTAACTTTTTAAGTTTTTTGAAAATATGCTAAAACTTTTTTCTCATATCGTCAGCCATCACAGCAAAGCACAAGAAAAATAAGTAGATAAAGGAACAGAAAAATGACTGATATTTGATATCCTAATTTTTATTTTTTAGTTTTATTTTTAAATTATGATTTAATTCCTTAGGCTTTCTGCAATTTCTTTGAAAACAATGTTATGACTAAAATACTCGTGCAAAATCGGGTGACGTGCCGAAAACCACATTCAATTTGGTCTCGGTTGATATGGTGAAATGCAACTACAATTTTGTTATAGCGCTTAGGGTACTTTTATTAATAAATTGAATAATTAGGTGTTCCCCTTGAATTTATAGGCAAGTATAGAGGTGCCAATAAAGCCCATTGGGCTAGGGTTAATAGCGGGTGGGTTTGTCAAGGGCCAACACCCGACCCTTTTACCTCACTACTCACTGGGCAAATCTTCTTATGCGTTGATTCAGTGTTGAGTATGAGTAGTGGACTAGTGGTACATTGTGTTGGTTGAAACCTGATGAGAACTTTTATATTTGTACTCCACTAAATTACTTCATAAAGAACAACACTTACTTTGATTCCAATGACAAAAACCCTCGAGATGTCATGATTGAGGACGTGCTTGGATACAAAAATATTTTCCCAAAATGAGGTTTTTTTGCTAACTAGTTGTTGTTAGTGGGATTTTGAATTTTTTATTAAAATAATATTTAAAATAAAATAAGTAAAGTTAATTTGATGTAGAAAGAGGAGAGAGATGATGTGAATTGTGATTAGTTAAAATTATGTAGATGGATGAATAGTGAATTAAAGTTAATGCGATGCGTAAGAATAAATGATTGATATTATTTAATTATATTAATAATATTTGAATTAAAACTGAATAAGATTTTAAATATTAATTGACAAAATTCATAAACAAACACACCCTTAGTCATTTTAGATACCTCGTGTCCATTCTATGTATCGATCTGAAGCTCAAAATTTTCAACAAGATATCGAGGGAAAATACAGATTATTGCCACGTGTGAACAACATATCACATAACTTTGTACCAAGAGATTTTTTTTTTTTTTTTTTTTNAGTCAGGGGATGGATATGAGCAGGGCCTCAGGAAATCAAAACACAGAAACATAAAAGATTTCAAATCAAAATCAGCATAAAATTTGCATCTCATAAACATTGGTACTTCCTTGGGATCTGCATGCCCTGAACTAAACTGACCAAATCCAACGACTTCAAGAAGCTCAGCAAATATGCAAACATTATTGGTAAAATCAAGTGCATTTCAGTATTTCACAAGCAAGAGAAAATTAGAGGATTAAAGAACATTTGCAGAAGAGGAGAAAACTTGATTAGTTACATATTGATGGCTTAATTACCCTGAAGTATTACTCTTTCTTAGCTTCTTTTTCCTTGGCATCTGGTTTATCTTTTGGGTTGCCTTTATTAGGCTTCAAGAAACAGAAACATGAGCAGCAAGGACACTGGAATAAGAACTTCATCCCTTCAGCTTTTTGCCTCAAATCCCAACAGAAATCCTTCCTCCAATTACTGATCTTCAAATGTGAACTAGAAAATAGCCAGATAACAGAAGCTTTTGCTCAAAGTAGACTTTTTTGTTTTTTTTTGAGTCTTGTGGGTTTATCTTCTTTTAAGATGTGACATTTTTAAATATTGGATTCTAATTTGGTCACTTTCAAATGGAAGAAAAAAAGGATGGGCGAGTCTTACTCCCTCCTATTCATAATAAGTGTCGTTTTTGTCAATACTAACCCTCACTAATGAAGATAGAGATGGATGTTTTAAAAAAACGATGTAGAGAATATAAAAAGACGTAATGTATTTATTAACTAAATGAGGGTAATAATGGAAAAATATGTACAAATTATTCAAAATGACATTTATTTTGGTTAATAGTTAATAAAGCCAAAATGACATTTAAAAAGAATAGGAGGTAGTATTAAGTAAGGTGTGTCGCTATTCGCTAGGATAGATCAACTTGGAGCCACCCATACATAAACAAGTATATATTATTTAACTGATTTCATGTTCATACACTACATCTTTTGATGTTGTAAATGTTGCATCTAATCCATCATCACAGTTGATGAATTTGTACCCTTCCCTTTTTTATTTTTGTTGGAATATGTAAATAAATCATGAATACGATCAAATAGTGAAAGCTCAATTGAATATCTCTTTATATTTGGGGTCGTATAAAATACCCATAAAGATGTATCATTTGATCTCGTTGTCTCGATTAAAAAAAGATTAATAGTTTTCTAGGCTGGCAAGCATATTGAGGAATAAAGTCTTGAGCACAAGGTTTGAACCACCAAATGAAGGCTTTTTTTCTCATGAAATTGGTGGGTGGGGCCCACAAGGTGTAGGGACAAAACCATATACTATAGTACTAATTTTCTGGAAAATTGTGAATCAGATGCTACTGCTGTGTTTGGGGAATTCTATTCATAGTCCCAAAGTTGTACCATAAGAGAAAGTGTCCCAT